AAAACTCATAAATTTTAGAACTTTAACTAATATTAAAAAAAATTTCTCTCATATCTATCTATATCTATATATAAGTTAGGACTATACCTCTTATATATAGTAACATTAAAAATAAAAAATAATAACATTCAAATAAAAAAAATTATCATTTAAATACAAAAAATAATATCATTTAAACACAAAAAATAGTAATATTTAAATATAAAAAAATAGTGTCATTCAATATTAATATTTTTTTAGATAAAAAAATATTAATATTTTTAAAAAATAACAATAGTTACATCTTCAACAAAAATAGTAACATATTTAATAAAAATAGTAACATGCTAAAAAAAAACAGTAGCATGCTAAAAAAAATAGCAATATGAAACATTGAACAAAATTGAAAACAAAAATAGTAGCATTCAAACTCATAACCAGAGCAAGAAGCCTCCAATTCTTCAGTATCCAAAAAAGTAACACTGAAAAAATAATAATATGTTCAATAAAAAATAGTAACATGAAAAAAAAATAATAACATGTTCAACTAGAAAAAATAGTAATATGGTTAATAAAAAAAGCAGTAACATGAAATATTGAAAAAATTTGGAGATTATTTATAAAAAAAAATAAAAATAAAATTGGAGATCAAACTAATAACATATTTAGTAAGTTTTTCAACATTTTTTTTTCGAAACCCAATGACAGAGAAGTTTATGATGATTAGAACACAGTAGAAGATATGATAGTTGTGATGATATTTCAAATCCTACTGATCTTTATGCTATGGAGGAATAAATGATATTTAAAAGGAAATATTTGTTGTACTGGAGTAATGATCTTCTTATAACGAGAGCAAAAATAAATATCAATTTCAACTTTAGGAGTGAATTAAGGGATGATAATTTCTAATTTAAGAAATTAATTTAAAGCAACTTTCAAAGTCTTTAAAATTTTTATAATTGAACATAATAACACTATTAAGGGCATTTTTAGGATTTAAAAAAAATAGTGGATTTAAGTACTTATTAGTAAGATAAAAAATGGACTTATCACCAAATAAGTTTCTTTAACAGATTCAAGTCATTACAAGTCCAATTAAGGAGGACTCAGCCCCAATTTTCACTAAATATTTCGTGTTTTTAGTTTTTTTTACTCATTTTTTTTCTTTCACCGTATCACTTAAGAAATTATATAAAATAAATTTATGTATTTTATATATATAAATAGAAGTGTAAGTGTATCATTTATATAATAAGATCCATTCAGATTAATTTTTAAAAATAGAAATTCATCGTAAATCTACTTTTTCTTTTTTATTTAATACATCAGTTTGAAAAATTAAATGAAAACATCACTTACTAAAAGCATTACCGACTATCATTTTGTGGGTAAGTGAATTTACCAAAATAAATTGTTCCAATTTTCAAAGAAATCCAGCGACGCTGACGTAGCCGCTTACCAAATCCGTGGGACCATGAGGCCCATGACACGTCGTCATCATTATCTATATGCAGGAATGATCATTCATCTTCCAAATGCTCAGCCCACTCGTCACCTTGAAGCATCCAGTCTTTTCAACATCGGGGAGAGAGAGAGAGAGAGAGAGAGCGGAACAGGGAAGGTGGTGTGCGTGACAGGGGCTTCAGGCTACATAGCTTCATGGCTGGGGAAGGTGTTGCTTGAGCGTGGTTACACCGTAAAAGCCACCGTTCGGAACCTCGATCGACTCTCTCTCTCTCTCTCTGTCCCTTTCTTGTCATTTAATTGCTTCTCCTTGACCATTGTTCTACTCTGTAGCACACATTGTTTGGAATCTTCTTATTGGACTGTTACACAATTATCTTTTGACAAAATTTATTGGCCAAATCTATTATTCTCGTTGGATTAATAACGAATTTTAATGCAGGGTTATAAGCTTGTATTAAATTTTTTCAACGGATAAAAATAAGATGGCGGGTTTATATTTATTTATGTAGATGCTAATCATACAAAAGTAAACACCAATTGTAGACTAATTACAAACAACTTAATATTTCTGAAAAAGATATGACATTTGTATATACAACAATATACATAATTTGCACTTCGATTTAACATGTCTGTTTGTTTGTTCGAATTGTCAATATCTGTTTAATATGTACTACAGATAATCCGAAGAAGACAGCACACCTACTTGAACTTGATGGAGCTAAGGAAAGGCTACATTTGTTTGAAGCAAACTTAACTGAAGAAGGATCATTTGATGCTGTGGTTGATGGTTGTGAAGGTATCTTTCACACTGCCTTTCCTGTTGTCCTTTCATCCACTGACCCTCAGGTAAATCCTCAAACTTCTGCTGTCCTATGATGATTTTGGTGTGGTATCCACATCTGTATAGCACTTGAGACAAATCAATTCCTTTGGTACCGTGACTTTCAAACTCCTTCATTCAAATACTGCGTTTTCTAACTTGTTTCCAATCTGTCATAGTTTATATGCAAACGTGATTTCATTATCTTTTACAATTTATATAAAAGCATAGTTTTACCCACACTTTTCATTGTAAAAGTGCGAATGACAAGATACACTACTCAAATTTGCAATTGAAAGCTTGTTCTGCAAATGCGCTTTTAGATTGAAAAGCGTAGGTTAAAACCACACTTTGATATTGACAATGTTAGATTAGGAAATGAGTTAGAAATCACAGGGTTTGTTGAGAAAAAAGAATTTGAATAAATATGCATCTCGACATTACAATCATTGTGACGTCATTGATATTAATACAGTGCCTACATTTAGAGTCTTCAAACCCATACCTGACTACTGCATTGTAGTTTGTATAATGTTAGCCACTATTCTTGTCATTTCTTATATGCTTGCTGGTTTTGTTACCACTTGAAATTGTTCTGATTGTCTCATGTAGCAACACGTACTGAAATAACGGAGTGGAGAGTGGATAAGCATATGACAAGATCAAGCTGTAAACTTTAGCTATGAGCCTATAAATTAGAAAGGGTATCAAGATTTTGTCTTGGAATAAGTTAATTTGGAAGCTAAAGAAAATAGAAACATGAAGACTAAAGCTTATTTCTTGAAATTATAACTTGATATGCAAAATCTTGATGAGAAAATAGATATTTGAAAGTAGTTGAGGTTCTACTGTTTTATTCTGGCTAGAAATTAGCTCCCTTGTATAACAAGTGAAAACTAAATCTAGTAAAACTGAAGTTCAGATGCTTTATTCTTTACAAGTTGTGGGCGCAATGTATCATTCTCTTCGGTGGTCTTCCTCCCCTGGCCCTTCCCTTATTCTGGGGGGAGATTTGAGGTGGTTGAGCTATACTATTTGTAAATGTGATTTATCATATTAGTTTAATGACTCAAAGCAGTTCTTAGCTTAAAAAGAATGATAGCTCCTTGAATTATTTCACTAGATTGGTTGGAACCAAAAATCTTACCGAATTAGAAATACAAGATCATGTTAGGTTGCTGGTTTATTTTCAAGAAAAATGTGGAATCAAAGTAACCAGCATCAATACAGTTTGGTATGCAGGGAAGGTTTTTTTCGATACGATGCCTTAATGATACTTTGTGCTTACTTTTTGCATATTGCTGTTGGCTTTATTCGCTTCTTTTGAAAAACTGCATGTAGAAAGAGCTGCTTATCATTTTATTACCATTTACCACATTTCAGGCAGAATTAATTGAGCCTGCTGTGAAGGGAAAACTTAATGTTCTGACATCCTGTGCAAAAGTTTCATCTATCAAAAGGGTGGTGGTAACATCCTCCATGGCTTCGGTTAGATACAATGGAAAACCTCTAAATCCCGATGTTGTAGTTGATGAGACTTGGTTCTCAGATCCAGTATTTTGTCAGGAATCAAAGGTTCGTTAATGTGCTAATGTCTTCAATATTTAAGTAATTAACAGCATCCATTGAGTTCACCATGACTCTTGTATTTCTTTCTTTATTTCCATGGCTATAGAAATATGTTAATAGAAGACCTGTCATCCTATGTACTGTGGTGTGGAGTATGCATGGGTTTCTGTTTTTCATATTTGCTTGTAAATCAATGGGTATACTTGGTATATGTGTAATTTCTTTCGGTTCATGCAGTCATTACTTACCGAAAAAAAAACATTTGACTGAATCATCTAGTGTTATACAAAGTCCATCAAGGTGGTTCTTTTTAGGTTAAGGCCTTAAAGATATCTTGAAAATATAGATGGGAAAAGGCAGATGGGAAAAGGCCACAAAGGCTGTTTTCTTTCAGAAGTTAGAATTCGGACAACAAAAACATTGAAGCTTATTTTGTAGTTACATGTGTTGTCATTTAAAAATATAGCTGGAGAGAAGTTAACTTGCTTTAATACCCTTCATTTTTTGCTAATTAAACTTTGCATGTATCAGCTGTGGTATATGCTATCGAAAACCTTGGCCGAGGAAGCTGCTTGAAAATTTGCAAAACAGAATGAGATTGACTTAGTGATGATACATCCAGGCTATGTGACTGGTCCTCTCTTGCAGCCAACTCTCAATAGCTCTGCTGAAGGGATTCTGAACTTCATAAATTATGGTATGCTTTTCTGTAGCAAATGAGGATGCAGCATATGAAAGTATCTTTCTACTTGAAACGTTTTCATTCTTCATCTCTAATCTAGTTTGGAGATAATCCTTCTGAAAACTCTTTATCTCATCCATTCTGTCATTTGAAGTTTAAAAGGCAGCCATCTCAGTGGCGCTATCTCAATTTGTTCTTGTTTGTAAGAAGTCTAAATTCATTATTCATTACAAGATTCAATTATTTTGTGAGACACATAAGAGGTTGTCTTCTCTAAAGTTTGTTCATTGCTTCCGCTTCTCTTTTTCTTTTTTAGTTATGATGAGATGCCTATTTCTTGAGAACAATGGCCCCCAAGGATAATTTCTCTTGTTGATTGTGCATTTATATTATATTCCTTGGCATCCTGAGAAATTAACTTGGAAGGCTGCTATTAGTATTGCTCATAATCCAGTTCAACATGAAAGAACTAAATATGTTGAAATTAACCGGCACTTCATTAAAGAAAAGTTAACAAGGGCTTGATTTGCATGCTTTTTGTGAAATTATGAGGAATCTTGACAGGGTATAGTTGTGTAACCTAGCACATTACCCTATTTTGACAATCTTTTCTTGTTCTTCTTTTTTTGCTCTCTCTCTCTCTCTAAACCCTATTGGTTTCACAGCTTAACTGTAAATTATGTTTAGTAGCTTTGAAGGAACATATACACTCATATATTGTAGAACTCATGCAAAACTGAAGCAGAAATTCTGGAGTACAATAATTTCCTTTGGTTCCCATTTCTTTTTTATCGTGATATATTTAATTTTGGAGTACAAAAACACTTTTTTTTTTATTCCAAGGACAGTGTTGCACTGTTGCATATGCAAATCTCTTTTTCTTTCTTAATTAGGTACATCTCCACATATAATTTTTTTCATATGAGCATTTAAGTTATATGTATGATTCAGGACAAGAAATACTCCCTAATGGAATCTATACATATGTTGATGTTAGAGATGTTGCATATGCACATGTTCAAGCATTGGAGATTGCTTCAGCTAATGGCAGATATTGTTTAGTCGAGACACTAACATACTCTTCAGAAACTCGGAAGATATTACACAAGTTTTATCCTACCCTCAACCTTCTAGAAAAGTAAGTATTTAGTATTTAAAATGTCTTTGATACTAGATGGCTGAGCTAATAACTAAAATAATTAAAGTTGACTATGTATGCTCAGCTAATGCGCATTATGCTAAATTCTTTATGTTTCATTGGGTTCTCATTCCTCTCTCTCTCTCTCTCTCTCTCTTATGTTATATAAGAAATTTTAAATGTAATTCTTCTCATAAAATTTTATCCCTCTCAATAATATTATAATTAGGGTCGGTCGATGGGGTAAACTCATGCATATTATCCATTGTTGTCACTGTTTTATTGTGTTAACCACATAAACTATGTTAGGTGGATCCCTTGTGGAAGGAAGTTGTCTGATAACCCATATAATAAAAGTTGCTTAAGAGTTTTAAGTTTAGGACATAACTACTTATTAAAGAATTTCCCTTGCTTTATGACTTTAGGTTATGTAACGTAATTAAAATGTCCTATAAACTACAGACAAAGGGAAAAGAACTAGAGCAATACTATATATTCCAAATTTGTATCATAAATGTGTATCCCAAATCAATAAGGATGGTTAGATCAGTGGGTTCCAATTAAAAAGGTTGATGGGATCCACTCATCTAATGGTTCCCGTTCATTTGCGATGTAAATTTGGGTTACAAATGTGGGTTATATAGTATTTTTCAAAGAACTAAGGGACAATAATTATTCAAAACTAGAGAAGGCCACTCAACAATGTATATTAGACTTATAATTAACTAGAGAACAATTATAATTTCCGAACACCATATGATTTCATGAAAGCAGTTAACTCTAAGCTTTTTTTAATTGAATTTCTATTGAATATATTGACAAGAAGTACCATGTAATGTCATACTTAAAATGCATGATTGATTTATTTCTTTAGGTACATAAAAAAAATGAATTTGTGGTACTTTTCCTTCTGATTTGCTATTCACATTTCAAAAAATATTTATTGTAGTAATTAAAGATATATTGTATGAGTTATCTTTTGATGTCTACATTATCACCTTGGGAAAGAAATTTTAATTGAATTTATATTTTTTTTTATGGCAAGTGTAAAGATGAAAAACCTGTTGTCCCACCATTCTAGGTATCGAAGGAGAGGGCAGAAAGTTTGGGCATTGATTTCCTTCCTCTTGAGGTGAGCCTTAGGGACACCGTGGAAAGCTTGAGGGAAAAGAAATTTTTGAGTTTTTGAACATAATATAGTACCGAGCAATGCAAATGCGTGTGATGCTGTGTTTTTTAGGGTTTTATGTTGTAAAAGTGGCCAAAATAATTGCAATAATATGCAACAAGTTTGAATATGTTTTGATTTGTGCTTTTCATTTCTTTGCCTTAATATCGTATGTGTAAAATCCTTCAAATAACACCTTTTCCCCAAAAAGATTATAAGATTACTGCTTTCCCTCTTAATGGTTAAATGCCTCAGATTGCATATTGATTTTTTTTTTTTTAAACACTAACCTAGCAGTTGTGGCATATTGCTACACTCTTGAACAAATAGAGTCTATGTGAAATTTTTGATCTTAGATGTAGTAAAATGAATATTTAAAATAGTTCAAAAGGCAAAGAGCAGTTAGACTTAGACCTAAGTGAAAAAAAAAACCAAAAATGGGGGTCTAGCCCCTCTCATAGTGCCAAGCAAGAAATTGGGAAAATGAACTAGGCAAGACGAGATCCAATTTCAAGCACCCAAACAACAGTTTTAACTCTATGGGGAAAGTGGCTGCTGGGGCTACAGCGCCAAAAAGTAACCTTTGTTGGGTTACCTTATGTGGTTTATATGAAAAGCAAGAAATGATTGGTGCTATAGGCACAGAGCAGTATATGCCATTGGTGTAATAAGACAAGCTGAAATGGCCGTTGGGGAGTTGCAAGAGCTGAAGAGGAGAGAAAACACCAACTCCATACCGCAAAATGAACCAGTGATAACAACATGGAGTGCTCCGCCTAGGGGTTCAATTAAGCTCAACTACGATGGAGCGTTTCTAGCAAAAACTAGGAGGGGACCTTTTTGCAGTGGTGGCACATGATCATACAGGTAGGCTGCTTGCTAGACAATCAGGAACTATGAGTGCTGCTTCTGCTCTGACTTCCGAAGCGTGGGCAATAAGGGCTGCATGTAACTTGGTTGCAGCTGAAGAATGGAATTCAGTGCTAATTTAAACTGATTCACAAGTACTTCTGAATTTCCTCTGAAAAGGTGCAATTGAACCGTTGAAAGTGTTAGAACAATCTAAAGAAATACAAGAGATAAGAAAAGAGGAGGTTATAGTTTTATTGATACTGTATAATTCAATTGAATACAAGGAAGTAAAATAACCTAAATACAAAGAGACTATATATAAGTTAAACAAGACAGGAAAAGTAAATGACTATTCTACCCTTAATAAACAAAATAATCCTATATTTCTTAACATCTCCCTCAAACTCACGATGCAGCAGTGACAAGCATCGAGAGTTTGCCAACTAGAAAACGAAAACAAGAAATAGAATGCGACTTGGTAAAGAAATCTGTAATCTGCAAAGAAGAACAAACAAAGGGAAAAGTAATGGTGTCATGCTTGAGATGATGACGAGTAAGGTGACAATCGATCTCAATGTACTTAGTTCGTTCATGAAAAACCGAGTTGTGAGCAATCTGAATAGAACTCCGGTTGTCACAATACATAGAAGTGGGATGAGAAAGGGAAATTCTCATATCTGCAAGTAACCAACGTAACCAAACAATCTCTTTTGTAGTAGATGTCATAGCACGATATTCTGTTTTGGTTGAAGATTGAGAAACAATAAATTGTTTCTTGCTCTTCCAATAAATAAGAGAATCACCCAAAAAGATACAGAAATCAGTAATAGATTTGTGATCTGTGGGATCACTGTCATGATCAGCATCAGAGTATGCACACAGCTCCAAGGAAAATGTGGATGGAAGTAAAAGACTCTGAAAGACTGTACCCCGAAGATACCTCAAAATACAAAGAACTGCTACCCAATGAACTGTAGTAGGAGAAGCAACAAACTGACTAACAACATGAACAACAAATGCAATATTTGGATGAGTAATAGTGAGATATACCAAGCTCCCAACAATAGTACGGTATAAAGTAGGATCTGACAAAGGTAAACCATCAGAAGAAGAATATTTTGCGTTAACCTCAATGGGAGTATCTACAGTCTTATTATCAGTAAGTCTAGCTCGCTCAAGAATATCTGTAACCAAAGTTATCAAATCGTGTATCGGAAGGCGTATCGTAAGATACAAATATTGTATCGTATCGTGTATCGTAAGATACGATGCAATTTTAAATAAATAATAAAAAAATATATATACCTTTGAAAAAAAGTCATACACTCATAAAAAATATAGCATTTCATTAATACTCCACCAACTATTCAAGTTATCAACATAATCCACTACTATTATAATGCAAAGTTCACAACCATAGTTCACTAATTCAAACTTTAAACACCAAAGAGACTTCTAATCCAAATTTCTAACATCCATTTTGAACTCAATCTTCAATTTCAATTGAAAATGTATCATCATCATCATCATTGTGATCGGATGCCAACAAGTCTTCACTTCCTTTATCATCTTCAACTTCTTGTATTTGTTCATCCTCATCCTCATCTTCAAGTTGAACTATTTGCTTTCCTTTTTTCTTGTATAAAGTAAGATTTCTAGGCCCTACAAAGCAACCAATACAAAATATAAAAAAAATAAAATTCAAAGTAATGGAGAAGAAGAAAAAACAACCACTACATTTTAATTACCTCTCTTTCTCTTTTTGCTAGTCCCTTCTTGAACCTCAAAACATTCACCAACATTCATCCAAGTAGTGTCCTCAGGAAGGAGTGCATCTTCTTTTTCAGTGATCCACTCATCATCAGATTCCATATCTGAGAGAGAAATAGGATCATAGGAATCACCCTCTAGTATTCTCTTTTGGTGTCTTGCCTCCAATCGAAGATTGTACTTCACAAACACAAGTGCACTTAATCTTTGTTGCTCTAATCGATTTCTCCTCTTAGAGTGCACCTGGTCAAATGTACTCCAATTCCTCTCACATCCAGTGGCACTACAAGTCAAGCTAAGGACGCGGATAGCAAGTTGTTGCAACTCTGGACAACATCCTCCAAATGATTCCCACCACAAGGCTATAAAAAATTACAATAGAATACTCCATTAACTAACTTAAGCAGTTGCATTCAAATAACTAACTTAAGTTAAGTTACCACTAACCAGGTTGTTTCTTCTTCCTCATTTGGATTGCCATGTCCATTCCAAACATCAAATCAGCATTATGAAAGATATCTAATTGTTTATCAACTTTTTCTCTCATAATAGGATTTGGGCACATTCTCTGAATAGTCTGATATAGTCCCATCTTTATCTCATAGTCCGCACTACCGGTGTAATGAAACCTGAAATAATTATTTTGATTTACAATGATCATTGATCAGCATACAATATATAGATATAAAATGATATAAAAATTGAGAAAATTAAGTCTTACGCGGGATTGAGATAATAGGCAGCTGCATGAAGAGGTCTGTGTAATTGCATGTTCCATCTAGTGTCAATAATAGTCCATATGGGCTCATAGTGCTTCTTCACATTACGAAAATTCTTTTGGATTTGTTCCTTTGCCTTGTCCATTGCCTCATAAATATACCCCATGGCAGGCTTTAGATCCCCATCTACAAGCCTCAACACCTTCACCAATGGCAACACACACTTCAAGCAATATTTGATTGATCCTCAAAAATTTTGGTCAGCTAGTATAATATCCATCACTTTTACACCATCTCCCTTCTTACAATATTGACTTCTCTGCCATTCCTCAGAAGCAAACATTGCTCTAAGCCCAATTTTATTTTCAAATAAACTCCTTAAAGTTAAATATGAGGTGACAAATCTGGTCACACAAGCTCTCACCAAATCCCTTTTCTTTGTATACTTTCTCATAAGATTTAACACCCAAGAATGTCTATAAATGTAAACTGTGATTTTCCTTGCCTTTGACATTATATCCTTGTGCAGAGGAAGGTCCCCAATATCCGTCAAAATGAGATCTAGACAATGTGCACCGCAAGGAGACCAAAACAACTTTTTTCTCTTTGCCATTAACAACTCCCCAGCTTTTACATAAGCCGATGCACTATCAGTTACAACCTGAACAACATTATCCTCACCAATCTCTTCTACCATTGAATCTAAAAGCTCAAAAAGATTATCCGCATTCTTACAAATACCTGAAGTATCAATACTTTTAAGAAACACACTTCCTCTAGGACTATTCACTAAAAAATTAGTGATAGAGCGATGTTTCCCATCAGTCCATCCATCAGACATAAGAGTACAACCCGTCCTTCTCCACTCTGCTTTATAATTTTCCATCAACCCACCATTAATCAAATTTGTTTCTTTTTTCAAAAAAGAACATCTCACCTCATGATACGATGGAGGTTTCAATCCCTTACCAAACGATGCAACAGATTCTAACATTCTTACAAAATATGGATCCTTTACCAAATTAAAAGGAAGGGCATTAGCATAAAAACATCTACAAATATCCAAGCATACATCTTCCCTACCCTTTTTCTTTAACATAGTATTCAAAGTAATTGTGGTGGTTGGCTGTATTTTATCAGCAGTAGTACTACCCACACTGCCACTACTTTTCGAATCCATAAGACTCATATCTTTGCTAATTGTCCTATCATCCAATAATTGCTTAAAAAATTCAGTTACTTCCTCAGGGCAATGTTTACACGCTGCTACATCTTTGCGATTACTTGCCAAATGATTTTTCATTCTTGAAATGCCTCCCCAATAGACATTTGCACAATGAATGCATTTCAATTTCAACCTTGATCCTTCTACTTTGTCACAATGTTCCCATGTGGGATCATTAGCAAGTTTTTTAGTCATTTCTATATGAAAATTGGATGCAGGTGATGCCACTGTTGCACAAAATTAAAATTAATCAAGATTCAGAAATTTTTATACAAAAAAATTTATATACATTTGGCTTTGTAAATAAATTAATATCATTACATACTGCACAGGACCAACGATCAATGGAGACTGGGAAGAAGAAGAAGAAGAAAAAGAAAAAGAAGGAGTACCTGGAGAAGGAAGAAGGCAGCGATCAACACCCACAGTCGGAGACAAGCAATCACCCACAGACGAAGACCGGCAATCACCCACAGTTGGAGACCACCCACAATCGATCACCACCCAGACTCGAAGACCACCCACAGTCGAAGACCACCCACACAGTCGAAGACCACCCACAGCGATCACCACCTACAACGTTCACCACCCACAGTCGATCATCACCCACCCACAGTCGATGGCTGAAGAGAAACCACATACGTCGTCGATAGACCACCCACACAGGCGAAGACCACCCACAGCGATCACCACCTACAACAACGTTCACCACCCACAGTCGATCATCACCCACCCACAGACGTCGGTCGATGGCTGAAGAGAAACCACAGACGTCGGTCGATGGCTGAAGAGAAACCACAGACGTCGTCGAATATGTGAGAAATCTCTGATTTTTTTTTGTAACCCTAACCACTGAAACGACGTCGTTTCAGTGGTTATAGGGAATTAAAAAATAATAATTCAGAGCACAAAAGGACGTCGTTTTAAAAAAAAAAAAAAATTGCACGTATCGTGCGTTTCGTACCGATACGTATCGTATCGTAAAAACGTATCGTGTATCGGACGATACAACGCAAAAAAGATACATAACTACGATCCGTATCGTTTTAGGGCTGTATCGTAACGTATCGTACGATACGTATCGCATATCGTACGATACTAACAACTTTGTCTGTAACATATTTTGACTGAGAAAGAAGATAACCTCCAGGTGAGCAAGCTACCTCAATACCCAAGAAATATCGTAGAGAACCCAAATTCTTCATTTCAAACTGTCTAGCTAACTCTGTCTTCAAAACTGAAATACCATTAATATCATCACCAGTAATAATTATGTCATCAACATATAAAGAC